CTCACCTCAGCCTCCCAAAGGCGCAGGATTACAGGCTGAGCCACCGAGCCCGGCTCTACTGGATTTTGAACACCCTCAAGTGTGAGAATGGAATCTTCTTTATTAACTGATACAGGCATAACCGGTCTTGCACTGCAGTAGGTGATTGACCACAGTTTGTTAAATTCTCTAGTTAATTTGCCTCCACTGCTTCTGAAGTTCTTTCTCCATATTTGACTGCTCAGTGGAGTTACAATTTGAAGCTGAATGAGCCCAGCCACCAGCAAGCCTGTATCATTTAAAGGATGTAATGACAGCATCATTATTTTTTCAGATCTAGGTTGGAATTTACCTCTGAAAAATAAGAAAATGATGAGTGATGCAAGTGACATGTTGGCTGCGGCGCTGGAACAGATGGATGGTATCATAGCAGGTAATCTGCATCCTCTGAAAGACGGAGTCATGACACTTACTCTGCTCCTTGACCTTTTCATTACAGCTCTCTTACTGTGTTTTCACGTTCTTGTTTTTATTTACTGGCTCTCTACAATACCTTTTGGTTCACCACGGCTTCATTTTTATTCCTCCCCTTCTCCATTTTCTGCCAAAAGTATTCTCAACGTTTATGTTAAAAATACCAAAAATTGGCCGGGTATGTTGGCTGACACCTGCAATCCTAGAACTTTGGAGGCCAAGGCGTGAGGATTGCCTGAGCCCAGGGGTTCAAGACCCTCTAGGGAACATAGTGAGACCTTCTCTCTACAAAAAATTTTTAAGATTTAGCCCAGCGGAGTGGTACGCACCTATAGTCTCAACTACTTGGGAGGCTGAGCTGGGAGGATCACGAGCCCAAGAGGTCAAGGCTACAGTGAGCCATGATCATGCCACTTCATTCCAGCCTGGGCAACAGAGTAAGACCTCGGCTCAAAAATAATATTAAAACTTCGAATTCCGTCCTATGTTTCTGATCACAGATGAATAATCTTCATCTCCCGCAATTCTGATGTAGGTGGTCTCTGGATCGTATTTTGAGGTGCATGCTCTACCCAATATCCATGAATGTTATGATCTGTTCCCTTCACCAGTGACTCTTACATCATTTTTTTTTTAAGAGAAGAGGTCTCACAATGTTGCCTAAGCTGGAGTGCAGTAGCTATTCACCTGCATGATCACAGCTTACTACAGCCTCAAACTCCTGGGCTTGAGTGACCTTCCTGCCTCAGCCTCCCAGGTACCTGAGATTACAGGCAGGCACTGTCACACCTGGCTTGTTGGCTTTTATTTGGTTTCCCAATTCTTTCCTAAGCTTCTGGTCTCTATCTCTGCCAACCTGATATCTCTCCTGAAGTGTCCTAAGGCATATCAGTGTCATCGTTTAAAACACTGAGTTCATTATCTTTCCTCGAAGTTGCTCAGATGGTCTCTTCATTTTATAACCCGCCATCTAGTTTCACCTAAGCCAGAAATTCTAGGTACTTTTGTCCCTCATGTTTCCTATTTAATCACATTCCATCAATTCTGCCTCCTCTCAAATTCTACTTTTCTTTTTTTTTCATCTCTAAAGCCTGTCCTGGGACAGACGTGGTAGTTCATGCCTTAATCCCACACTTTGGGAGACTGAGGCGGGAGACTTGCTTAAGCCCAGGAGTTTGAGACCAGCTTAGGCAACATAGTGAGGCCTTGTCTCTACGAAAAAATAAAAAAAGTAGCCGAGCATGGTGTCACATGTCTGTAGTCCTAGCTATACCAGAGGCTGAGGTGGAAGAATTGCCTGAGCCCACGTGGTCAAGGCTGCAATGAGCTGTAATTGTGCAACTGCAGTCCAGCCTGGAGTAGAGACTCTGACTCAAAAAAAAAAAAAAGAAAGAAAGAAAGAAAGAAAGAAAAAGTCTGTCCCATCTCTGCTACCATTATCTTTATCTTGTTGTGGTCAAGTAACTTTCCCGCTTCATGTCTCCTGGATGCTTGCTTTCCCGCTCTAGTCTATCCTTCTTGAAACTTCCAGAATCTCCTTCCTAAAACACTGTTCTTATCATATTATTTCCTTTTCGGGAACCTTGAGCCATTCTCAGTAGGCCATCACATCCCTGTTTTCTCCCCATTGCAGAGGGGACTGACTAAGTAGGTGGACCCTTGTGGTTTCCCAGGAGTGGTGACTACCTAAAGTCTCATGTCACTTTACAGCATTTTGTCTCAAGAGGAGTACTTTTATGTATTTAGGAACTCATTACAATGAGGACAGGGTTGAATATGTGCTGTGGGGTGGGGTTGTCACCCATCCGAAGGCGGGGTCACCATGCAGTTGAGCTCAACCCTTCCTGGATTCTGCTTGTCCTACTCTCCATACCTCTCTCTCCCCCACCCCCACACCCAGCTTATCTTTTCTGGTCACACATCAGACCCTATTCTGTTTTGTTTGTTCTAAGACTCCGTGGCTATTGTCTTGCTCAAAAGATTCATATTCTCCCAAGGTGATGGCATGCCAGTTTGTTAAATTTATGTGTCCTCGAGACCTGACTTCAGTGTGTCCTCCTTTGTACATTAAAGTACTGTATCCAATTCTTATAATATCATTTTTAAAGGGTTCTTGGCAAACTAAAATTTATTTAGAGGTGTAAACTTGAAGGCAAAGAGTTTAACAACCAAATCCGATAGGGAGCTGGCTAAGTGTAACCTGGAAAAGTGTATTCTTGCTCAGGGCATGAAACATGCTTTCAAATACCAGCTGAAGAACTACTATGTTGAAAAGAGACTGGATTTATTTTGTCACAATTTCAAAATATATAACTAGAACCAATTCTAAGCCCTTACCAGAGATTCCAACTATATACTCTTAGAACAAGCCTATTGAGAGAAATGATATTTCTGGAATAGTGTTTTAAGGATTTACATTTTATATAGTCTACTATACTTGTGCATTTGTTTCTTAGACCTGGCAGGGCTTTCGACTAATGTCAGAATTGTTAAGAAAAATAAAGATACCCCAGGTCCCACCTCAAACTAAATCAGTCAGAAGTTTTGTGTGTAGGTTTATATGTTTTCTTTTCTTTTCTTTTCTTTTTTTTTTGATTTGGAGTCTCACTCTGTCGCCCAGAATGGAGTGCAGCGGCCGCTCCCAGCCACCGCAGCCTCGACCTGCTGGGCTCCGGCGATCCTTCCGCCTCAGCCTTCCGAGTAGCCAGAATTACAGGCATGTGCTACCACGCCCGGCTGATTTTTTTATTTATTGTAGAGATGAGGTCTCGCCTGCCCAGGTGGGTCTCGAACCCACGGGCTCAGGCAATCCACTCACCTCAGCCTCCCAAAGGCACGGCATTACAGGCTGAGCCACTGAGCCCGGCCGGTTTATATGTTTTCAAATTAACATCAGTGGTTCTCCAACTGAGGTAGTGAGGAGAAGAGGAGAAATGACTCAGTGGTTGAACTTTTTCTAAATTCACACCTCTCCCCTATGCCTACCTTGTTTTATGAGGGGATTTAACAGGATGAGAGGGCTATCATGGGTACAAGAATTTTTTATAATATTGGGTAATTCTAATGCTTCAAACTGCCTGAATAGAAAACTGTAGCTACTTTGGATTTTAATGCTTTTCTGTTCCTTCCTCCCCCAACATACCTCAATTTATATTTTTCTGGGTTCTCATCTCAGCTTTATGGGGCTCCTAAGGGGATTGACTCAGAGGTTATATGAGTCATTTAGCACTGTGCCTAACGTATCACTGGTGCCCATTATTATAATTTGGCAGATCGTGTGGTCCAGTATTAGGAAGCTCAGTGGAATGGACTAGCTGAAATGAAATTGATCAAGTCAAGATGGCCAACCAGGAAGGAAAACTCACACATTGTTTTTTGGATGCCATTCAATTGTAGGATCTTCAGACTTATGAAGCAAGAGCCTAAATATCATAGTTGTTGATTTTTTTCTTTTGAGTCAGAATCTCACTCCATCACCCAGGATGGAGTGCAGTGGCATGCTACCAGCTCACTGCAGCCTCAATCTCCTGGCTTGGATGATCGTTCTACTTCAGCCTTTCAAGTAGCTGGGACTACAGTGTGTACACCAGCCAATTTTTAAAAAATTTTTTGTGGAGACAAGTTTGCCCAGGCTAGTCTTAAGCTCCTGGACCCAAGTGATCCTCTCGCCAGAGTGGATCAAATTAACATCAGTGATTCTTCAACTGAGGTAGTGGGGTGAGGAGGAGAAATGACTATAAATGTTTGGGGACTTTTTCTAAATTCACAACTCTCCCCTATGCCCACCTTGTTTTATGAGGAAATTTAGCAGGATGAGGGGTTAACATGGGCACAATAATTTTTTATAATATTGGGTAATTCTAATGTTTCAAACTGCTGGAAGAGAGCACTGTAGCTGGGATTATGGGTGTGAGCCACTGCACCTGGCCAAAACCATTTTTTAAAGCTGATATTAACAAGCATTTGATGCTAGGCAGCAAACAAAGTCATGGGGAAAATATTTAAACCCATGTTCACATATGCATATACAAATGTACAAGTGTAATTCATTCAACTTCAGAGATTAAGTTCTGGTAAGTTAACTGGGAGCTTGCCCTCTTACCTTTAAAACTCGGCATTGCAATTTCCATCTCAGTGTGTAACTCCTTTTCAGGGATTTTGAGGACTTTATGATCTCTAAAATTTGTATTTTTTGGAATGCATGACTCTACCTGACTGACCTGCCACCTTCTTAACTATCATTTTAATGAGGCCAACACACCTGACACCAAAGCCTGCCATCGATATTTAGCATCAATTATATTGTTTTTATTTTTATACCAGATGACTATGACTTGGACAGATATACACGACTGAATATCTTTTTCCTGTTCCTGGTTTTGATTAGTCCTCACTGTGACTAGACTGGCTTACTACCTTCAACTTTGGTGTTTTATCTCACATAAATCCCATTGCTCTCTCTGTGATTTTCTTTTTAACCTAGGTTCTAAGGCCCTGGAATATTCCAATGGGATCTTTGATTGCCAGTCTCCCACTTCTCCATTCATGGGGAGCTTGCGAGCTCTGCACCTCGTGGAAGACTTGCGTGGCTTGCTGGAGATGATGGAGACAGACGAGAAGGAGGGCTTGAGATGCCAGATCCCAGATTCAACAGCAGAAACGCTTGTTGAATGGCTTCAGAGTCATATGGTAGATATCTGCATGTTATACATTCTGTGCTGTGAATCTTTTGTTGTTTAGTCTAAAATGTATAATGTAGAATAGCTAATCAGAACAAGAAAAAAATTTATAAGGCAACAGGTTTGCTCTGATTTTATCCCTTCAGAGAACCCAATTCCCTTTTGACTTTAAGCATAACTTTTATTTATTTTAAAGATGTGAGGTACAATTCAGGGTTAGGCATATAAATATTCATTATGCAGTTACCCTTGTTGATGAGGTGTACCTCTCCCTCCACTGGCAGTTTCCCTCAACTGCCAATCCCACCAACCCCCCTTCCCTAGCAGTTTCCCACTACTGCCAATTCCTTTCTTATAGTATTATGATAATTCTTCAAAGTCCACTTATGAGTGAGAACATATGGTACTCTGTTCTTGTTTCTGTGTTGGATCACTGAGTATGATCGACTCTAAGTCCATCCAAGTTGCTGTGAAGTCCATGTTTGTCCTTCTTTATGGCTGCATAATATTCCATTGTATATATGTACCACATTTTTTTAATCCAGTCCAGCTTCAGTGGGCAGCATGGTTGGTTCCAAATCTTTGCTATTGTGAATAGAGCTGCAACAAACATTTGCATGCAGGTATCTTTTTGTAGAATGATTTGCATTCCTCTGAGTATATTCCCAGTAGGGGGATTGCTGAGTCATATAGAAGGTCAATTTCTAGTTCTTTCAAAAAACTACCACACTGTCTTCCAAAGAGGTTGCACTAGTTTGCATTCCCACCAGCAGTGTAGAAGCATTCCTTTTTCTCTGCATCTTTGCTAGCATCTGCTGTTGTTTGTTTTGTTAATGATGGCCATTCTTACTGGGGTTAGGTGGTATCTCAATGTGGTTTTGATTTGCATTTCTCTGATGATTAGTGAGGCTGAGCACTTTTTCCTGTGTCTGTTGGCTGCCTGTATATTTTCTTTTGAGAAGTATATATTCATGTCTTTTGCCCACTTTTTAATAGGGCTGTTTTGTTTTTTTTTTCTTTTTGGCATGTTTAAGTTTCTTGTAGATCCTAGATGTTAGGCCTTTGTCAGATATACAGTTGGCAAATATGTTTTCCCATTCTGAGGGCTATCTCCCTGCTTTCTTGATGGTTTCTTTTGCTTTGCAGAAGCTCATCAGTTTGATGAGGTCCCACTTGTCTATCTTATTTCTTATAGTGTCGGCACTTAAGGTTCTGATCAGGAATTGGTTGCCAGTTCCAATTTCCATAAGGGTGTCTCCTGCGTTTTCTAAGATTCTTATAGTTTGAGGTTTTACATCCAGGACTTTGATCCATTTAGAGTTAATTTTTGTGTATGGTCATAGGTAGGAGTCCCGTTTCAATCTTCTGCATGTGATCAGCCAGTTTTCCCAGCACCATTTAGTGAATAGGTTCTCCTCTCCCCAGTGGTTGTTGTTAGAGGCTTTGTCAAAGATGAGTTGGTTGAGAAATTGAGGCTTTGCTTCTGGAATCTATCCTGTTCCATTAGTCTATTTGTCTGTTCTTATACCAATACCAGGCTGTTTTATTACTGTAGCCTTATAGTAAAGTTTGAAGTCTGGAAGTGTGATACCACCTGCTTTGTTTCTTTTTGCTAAGGATTGTTTTGGCTATTCGTGGTCGTTTATGTTTCCATATGAATTTCTGTATTGTCATTTCCAGGTCTAAGAAGAGTCTGAGAAGAATGATGTTGGTAATTTAATGGGTATTGTGCTGAATCTATAGATTGCCTTTGGTAGGATGGACATTTTAACAATGTTGAATTTTCCTGTCCATGAGCATGGACTATTTTTTAATTTGTTTGTGTCTTCTTGGACACATTGTAAAGATCTTTCACTACTCTGGTTAGGAAGATGCCAAGATATTTCATTTTTTTGTGTCTATTGTGAAAGGGATTGTGCTTTTTATTTGGTTCCCTACCTGTTTGTTGTTGGTGTATAAGAATGCAACTGTGTTTTGCACATTTATTTTTCCCCCCAATACTTTGCCAAGTCTTTTATCAGTGCAAGCAGGTTTTTGACATATTTTCTTGGATTTTCAAGGTATAGGATTATGTAGTTAACGAAGAGGGATAACTTGACTTCTTTTCCTATTTGGATTCCCCTGATTTCCTTCTCTTGTCTAATTGCCCTAGCTAGGACTTCCAACACAGTGTTGAGCAAAAAGGGGTGAGAGTGGGCAGCCTTATCTTGTTCCAGTTTTCAGGGGAAATGTTTTCAGTTTCTGTCCATTTAGCAATATGTTAGCTGTTGGTTTATCATAGATGACACTTGCTATTTTGAGGTATGTTTCTTCATGCCTAGGTGTTTGAGGGTTTTTATCAAGAAAGGATGCTGGATTTTTATCAAAAGCTTTTTCTGCAGCTAATGATATTATCATGTGGATCTTGTTATCACATCTGTTGATGTATTTAATTACATTTATGGTCTTGCCAATGTTGAACCAGCCTTGCATCCTGGGGATGAAGCCCACTTGGTCATGTTAGATGACTATTGAGATGTGTTTTGGGATCCGATTTGCTAGAATCTTGTTGATGATTTTTGCATCCATGTTCCTAAGGGATATTGACCTGTAGCTCTCTTTTTGTGTTGGATTTTTTTTTTGAGTTGGAGTCTCACTCTGTCGTCCAGACTGGAGTGCAGTGGCCGCTTCCGGCCACCGCAGCCTCGACCTGCTAGGCTCCGGC